GGGGGGGGGGGGGGGGTAGCATCTTATATAAAATCTAGATATTTTATTTATCTAGAAGAAACTGTATTGGGAGGTAACAGGTTTACTCCTGGTTCTCACTTCTATTTTATCCTTGTGTATGGTTGCTAGTCTAGTTCTAGCTCTTCTCTCTCCGCAACAAAATCAAGAGAAGGTAAACTCAAGATAAACTCCATTGGCGACTATTCTCCATTCTCTTCTTACTTTAAAAGGCTCCAAAACTTTCCTTGACAATTTGATTTAAAAGTCGTTTCTGGATCGACATGGTACAGTGGTAGGCGATTATATTAATATATTAAAGAAGACTTTATTTTTCTTGTTCTTATTGTTAAAAAGCTGTTCTCGAATTACTAGTTTACAAGTAATTAAAGAGAAGCTTATTAATTGACAGCTTCTTTTTGTTTCCACGTTTAAGTGTATCAATGCTGTTTAACGCTTGATAAAAATTAATAATTAAACAGAATGTTGTCTTCATTATATTGATACAATCGCCTACCGCCGTAGTTGAGCTGAAAATGCAATATTGTAGAGAAATATTTTGGCAATTACAGGGTGTGTATTTCTAATTACTAAGTAAGAGTGCAAAATAGATCTTTACTTAGCAATTACACAACGTGTAAACGTCTAAAAGGTTTTCTAGAAAATTTCTCTACAATACTGCACTCTCAGCTCAAGTACTATGTCTAGCTAGACACTCCCTTTAAGATTGATTTTAATGTCCTTATTTAAGAATATTATATACGCCAATACAGGGTTAACCTCACAGGATTAAACTTAAGGAGAAAACTGTGAGAAATATAATCTTTTTTTAAATGGTGGAATTTGGAAACTGGAAACTTGTTTCTTTCTTTAAAGAATCACAAAGATTCTATTAAAAGTCACTTTTCAACACATTGGAACAAATTCAACCGGCTAATGAGTTTATTTGTCGTCATTATATTCTCATCCTGTGTGGGTAACCCTGTAGATCAAGCATGAGATTCTACTCTAAAAATTATTTTTCCCAAGAAGACATTTTATAAAGTTTAATTGTTTAGGTTTTGAAGAAGGACTCTAACCCCATATTTACCATTGAACCAAACCAATCTGAAATGATTAACATCTCGACCAGCCCTCCTGAGGAACAAAAATCATTTCCTGAACGGAGAGCTCTTCGACCCAAGATTGATAAATCTAGGACGAAAGATTTACTAACTGGACCTGTGTATAGTAATCCACTTGTCCAAAGTAACACGCCTCTGTATAGTACCGCACCTGTGTACAGTGCCGCAAGACCTGTTTACAATACGGCTGAATCGTCTTCACATAGAGGCATTCAGTCCCCGGATTTGTTTACAACAAAAATTACTAGTACAGTCTAATGCGGTGGTAGGCGATTATATCAATATAATAAAGGCGACTTGTTTATTTAAGTTTTAATTGTTAAAAACCTTTTTTCGAATCAAAAGTTTACAACTCATGCAAGTAATTTAAGAGTTGCTTTTTTAATTGACAACTTCTCTTTGTTTCGATGTAACTAGTACATTGTACAACTAGTTTTCCAGGTTTATGCCAAAAGAATAAACTGTTAAAACCTAATTTTTGCATCTTATGTTCTCCCGTGGTAAAATCACACATTCAGTAACACAGCTGGTTGTTCCAATTTTCTTTAAGGATCAAAACTTAAGAGAAAAAGAATTGGTTTACATTTTGTCTGTATATCTACAGTCATAACCAGAAAACTCTGGAATAGGAAGACGTCTTTTAAGCTTAAATTATGACTTTAGTCCAATGAGCATAGGAAACAGAAATTATTCAATGTAAACAGACCCATTTCACTTGTTTTGTGATTTAATAAGTGCCTAGTAAAATTATTTGCTTTATAACAACATCAAATACACTTTCGAAAGTCGTCTTCCTATTTCAGAGTTTTCTGGTTATGACTGTATACAAAGTTAACGAAAAGGCGCTGAAACACTTTCGTCTTTTAATTTTTTTCGTTGTTTAATACATATTTATAATAATAATTATGTTAGTTTATAAATCTTTGGCACACTTACAATTTAGAACAATGGTTTGTGTTTGAAAATTCATACTTATGTACAAACATAAAAATTTTCTTTACGTTGCACATTGTTCCTTTTTCTGTTGAGCAAAATTTTGAAGTCGTCTGTTATATTCAAATCTTGCAAATCTCATGAAATGTTCAAAATCTTGCAAATCTCATGAAATGTTCAAAATCTTGCAAATCTCATGAAATGTTCAAAATCCTGCAAATCTCATGAAATGTTCAAAATCTTGCAAATCTCATAAAATGTTCAAATCTTGCAAATCTCATGAAATGTTAAAACTCAAAATCTTGCAAATCTCATGAAATGTTCAAAATCTTGCAAATCTCATGAAATGTTCAAAATCTTGCAAATCTCATGAAATGTTAAAACTCAAAATCTTGCAAATCTCATAAATTGTTCGAAATCTTGCATATGTAAAAGAATTTTCAGATCTTGCGAAAGTTTGTCCACTATCTATAGATATCGCAATAAATTGATTACCACGATAGACGATTTAAAAGCCGTCACTCCGTTCCCACGTTTATGGAACAACCTGTTTTTTCATTTCTAATTTTTTAAAATCTATTTACAAATGGAAATAAATGTTTCTTCAACCCTTCCTGAATCAAAATATATTTGTATTTGTTTTATATATTTATTTTTTGAATTTGAATTTTAACAATACCTATGAATTTTTAAAATATTGGGTACAAATCATACAGAAATATTCTATTATAATTCATCTTGTCATCTTATACTTCTCCTCGATGTTTAGTTTTCTTTTTATGTTGACTAACCCTTCCGGCAATTTTGGAAAAATATGTTTCTTCTAACCCTTCTGAAAGGGAGTGTTAAGGAATAATGAAAGGGGGTAGGCTGATCCCGTATAATTCAGATATATATAGTTTATGTAGTGCAGTCATAATCTTTTTATTTTTTTTTATTCACAATGTATTTTGGAGTTGGATTATTTGACCGATAGGTGTCCCTAACTCTTTACTCTCCATATTGACCAATAGGTGTCTCTACTCTCGATACAATTGAAAATGTTCGGTATTTTTTTAAAAACTATTTTCCCCTTGTAGACGCAACAGATATAATTGTAAAATTAGTTGTGATCGATGTAGAATTCGATTTAATATTTCGCGAACACTCCCTGTAAAGTTATTATACAATCTATATACAGTAAACATGAAATGAGAAATGTAATATGAATCCTATTATCAGGTTTAATACAAAACATTATGAGAACACATTTTCATTACACCATTTCTTATCGTCTCAGATAATACAGTACACCACTCTTTTCCTCGACAGTACAGTACACTGCTCTTTTCCTGGACAGTACAGTACACTGCTCTTTTCCTGGACAGTACAGTACACTGCTCTTTTCCTGGACAGTACAGTACACTACTCTTTTCTTGGACAATACAGTTCACTACTCTTTTCTTGGACAATACAGTACACTGCTCTTTTCCTGGACAGTACAGTACACTGCTCTTTTCCTGGACAGTACAGTACACTGCTCTTTTCCTGGACAGTACAGTACACTACTCTTTTCTTGGACAATACAGTTCACTACTCTTTTCTTGGACAATACAGTACACTACTCTTTTCTTGGACAATACAGTACATCGCTTTTTTCTTGGACAATTTAGTACACTGCTCTTTTCCTGGAGAATACAATACACTGCTTTTATTTTAGAACACTAAAGTACACTGATCTTAATTTAGAACACTAAAGTACACTGCTCTTAATTTAGAACACTAAAGTACACTGCAGAAATCTGCAGAAATAATGTGCACTGAAGAGTGAAGACTTTGCTCATACAGTTGTAGACGATTTTATAAATACAATGAAGACGACTTTCGATTTTAATTTTGATTTATATTAAACTATTAAACAGTATGAATAAAATAGAAGTAAAGAGAAGCTGTCAATTAAAATACTTCTCTTTGATTATTTGTAAAACTTGAAATTCGAAAAAAGCGAGTTAAAATTCTAAACTTTAATAAAAAATTCGTCGTCATTGTATCGATGTAATTGCCTACCACTGTATCATAGAACAAATTTCATATTTGCAATTTTACTAGTACCATTCGATATAGTCATTTCAGTAACATTCTTTTGACTCACACGAGGTCTAGAAGGTTCGGCTTATAGTCTGTCGTTTTTCATTTTTTTTTACAAAGATAGATATTTTAGATTACAAGAGAGTACCTCAGATATATCTAATCTGAGATAAATTTATAAAAATAAAAAATCTAGAACGATGGGTGTGAAACCAGCTAGATTCCAAATATTATAAAAGAATATTGATTATATTTTTTTATTTTACGCAGGTAGGTTTTCATATTGAAGAAGAGAGAAGAGGGTTCCGAGTTCTGAGGATTGAAGAGCGGGAGATTAAATCAATTCAGTTCGTCTACTCAAACAAACAGTAGAGAAGTAAACGAATCCGAGAACTGAAAATTATCTTAGTTTTTTTCAAACCTCAGTTTTAGTGATAGTTTGCAGTTTAAGAAACAGTTTTTTTAGAGTTTAAATCTTGCATGTTTGGATCTATTTTACAACAAAAAAAGTAAACTATTACTTTTTAGATTTTTTTTATAAAAAGTATTATTTATAAAAATTATTATTGTTAAGTTTTCAACAAAACATATTTTAAGTTTTAAGTTTTACAAGCAATGAGAATTGATTTGTTATATGAGAAAAACGTGAATTGAGCAACAAAAAAAACCAGAAATTTTATCAAACAGAAAATTTATCAAACAAATTCCGGTAACAGTGAAACCCACAAAAACTGCGGACTATGAAGACGATATTTAGGCAATCTTATATGTATATATATATATATATATATATATATATATATATATATATATATATATAGCTTGAAGGCAAATAAGTTACCGATAGCGAATAAATAAACTAATCAAGTAAAATGGGTCTGTGTACATTGCACAATTGATTTGTTTCATGTTCATCCTATTCCACAATTGTATGGATCTCACTGTATCCGAAAAAAAGCTAACAAGGTTAAAATATAACGACTAAATTTTATTAAAAGGAAACCGATATTTTTAAGTTCGCATGGTACAGGGTTACCCAAAAAGGAACAGACGACCTAGAATCATTTAAATATAACGATTCCAAGGTGTGGTCAGTCTGCAGCATTTTTTATGATCGGGCGAAGCAAGAAACGAGTATTGAATCATAAATACAAGAACCAGACAGAATAATTTTCCTAAAGTAGTTTCTAAAGTCTCATCCTTTGTGGGTAACCCTGTATGATGTATATTGCAGAACGTTACACTCCGTTTTACGGAAGCGAAATTAAAAAAATATGGCTTAAAAATACGTTTTTAATAACTTTTTAAAACATTTTTTTAACAATTTTTCAAATGATCATGATATTGGTTTCTAAACTCAACTATGACTCTAAGCAGATTATAATTATAATTGAAATTATAATTATTCAGAATTTAAGTTTTTGAATTTCCCCTTGATTGATATTAGAAGCTGTTCAATAGTTTACTCTGGTAAACACAATTTTTCTTCATATAAACAACTTTTAAACTTTTTAAACGTTTTAATTCAGAGAATTGTAAAAGTAGGGATGGACACGTTCTTGATTTTTGAAACGAGGACCTCGAGATGGTCGTTCGTTTTGTCTTTAAATCGTTCGTTAAATTAGGACCGTTTCATACTGAACAGTGAAACCTGCGTTCATATATTTTTTAACGAAATCCAGTTCGTTATTTGTTAATGCGAGTGATTCCTCTCTCCGTTAACGTTGCCCAGTCCTTAGTAGAATTCTTTCTTTCAATCGAGAAGTGCAAAAAATATTTATTTCTTCCTAGAAATGCAAAGTTTTATTGAAATAATTGGATTTATAGATTTATTTGGATAGATAATAAACCTTTTTTTACATTGAAATATAAAATAATTCTTTTTAAAACGTTGATAAAACAAAATAATAACTTCTTTCTTCTCAAAATTCTGAAAAAAAAACTATTTATATTTCATTGAAATTCTAAAATTCACGCAATTAAAAAAAATTCTGAATTGTATATGATTACATTTTTTGTTGAAAAAAAGTATCGAAAGGAATCGAAAGATCTGAACGGACCCTTATTAACTTAACTTCTTAACTATCCGTGATAAGTGATTTTTAGCAGAAGAGCTTTTGTTAAGTGAGATACTGAGCTATCAATCTAGTGAGTTAGTGAGCCGTGACCCTGTGAGATGTAAGCTAGTTACATATTCAGTAAACTAATGAGCTATTGATCTGTGAGCTATTAAGAATGAGAAAGGAGGAGATAGATGAGAATATGTCCCGGAGAGAACTGTACAACCAACCCTACCATCTGTTCTCCAGGTCCTCTTCTAGAGGAAGTACAGGCAGGAGAAGAAATACTTTTAAATATTTTAAAGGATTTTAAGGGATTATATTCTTAGTTAAAAATGCACCAATCAGCCCAATTTTTGTACAACTAAAAGATTGCTAAAAGAGCCAGAGAATAATCGGTAAGTTTTCTCAAAGA